ATGTACTGTTGTTGGATTTGTTAGTGTCAATTTTGTTCGTGAGTGTAGTATGTACAATGGCTTACAACTGCACTGATATGCCACTACAGTAACATATGGAAATTATTTTCTTAAAGCAGGATAAACTTTCTGTAGGACACATTTGTTATGCTCTTTTATAAATCATCAAATTTATACCTTCATAAAGTGTGTGGGTCATTTGTCAGTTCTCAAAGATTTCAGTTAAAAGACTGATACACAGCGTTAAGGTTAGTGAGTAATTTATCTTTGTCAGAAGAGCTTTCCAAAACATTTTCACCCAAGGTTTTATGAGAGATACTATGAGTATATGCTTGATTTCATAACCAATATTAAATAAAATTTTCTATTAGTGATCATTAATTTCAAATTATGGGTGAAATAATATTTGTATGTGAATTTTTTTTTTTTTTCAGAATCTCTACAATAACGGGTCACTTGCCACAAGAAGTTCTAGGATATTCTGCTTACAAGTACATCATGCCTGAAGACATTCCTGTGGCTTTGTTTAAGCACAATTTAAGTAAGTTTATTTCATGGCTAGTCCTATTTCAATAAGAAAAGGTAAAAGTTTAATTTCTGTGCCCTTTTTTAACCTATAGTTAGCATGCTGAATATAAAGTAGAAGTATCTTTTTACTAAAATGCTGGACAGGTACATTGCTAATTGATTGCCTTTTGTTTGTGTATCGCTTTATTCATGTTGAGAAGGTATATTACGTGATACTTGATAACTGATTTTCTTAAATAATAGTCATCAAGAAGTTCTCAATTATTATACAAGAGTTACTATACTTACCTTTAGAAGTTTTTGTTTTGGATGAGGAAGTTATCATGAAGCATTTTGTCAGTAGTAGAGGTTCACAGTTTCTCTTATCACTCTGGTGTCTTCAAATAGCAGAGAACAGGTTACAATTTTATACGTACTTCTGAGCCAAATAGTGGTTCTCAGTTTTAATTGCAGTTCTTATTTTTACAATTAATGGAGAGCAGGTTGTAGTTATAAGAATACTTCTCAGCCAGATAATGATTTTCAGTTTTCTTGTCACTCCAGTGTTTTACAGCAGGCTTTAATTATGTACAAATTTCAGAGCCAAATAGTGATTCTTAGTTTCAGTTATCATTCTAGTATTTTTGAGTAAAGGATAGCTTGCAGTAGCTATATACAGTTTCTGGACCAAAGAGTGATTCCCAGTTTTTCTTGTCACTCTGGTATTTTTGAGCAGTGAAGAACAGGTTGTAGTTATGTACCAATATCAGAGAGCTTTTTAGAAAGACTTTGAAACCAAATAGTGAGTCTCAGTTTTTCCTGTTACTGTGTTGTTTTTTGCTAATAAAGAACAGGTTGTATTTGTGTACCAACATCTGATCCAAAATAGTGATTCTCAGGTTTTCTTGTCATATCAATATTTTTGAGTAGTGAAGAGCAGGCTGAAGTTGTATATAGACTTTTGAGCCAAATAGTGATTTTCAGTTTTTCTTGAAATTCCAGTGTTTTTGACTACTGGAGGATGGGCTGTAGTTGTGTCTCAGAGAGACAAATATTGATTCTCAAATTTTCTTTTCACACTAGTGTTTTCAAATATTAGTGAATAAGCAGTAGCTGTGAACATATTTATGAGATAAATAGTTATTGTAAGTTTTGTTGTCACTCTAATATTTTTTAATAGTTGAACACAGGTTGTAGTTGTATACAAAATTCTGATTCACAGTTTTTCTTCTCATTCTAGAGTTTTCAAGTAGTGCAGAACATGTTCTAGTTGTAAACATACTTCTGAGCCAAGTGGTGTTCCTCATTTTCTCTTGTCACTATATTGTTTCCTGAGTAATGAAGAACAGATTGTGTATGAACATCTTAGTCCAAATAGTGGTTCTCAGTTTTTTGTCATTCTTATGTTTTAAAGTAGTGGAGAATAGGCTGTAAATGTGTAATGACTTCTGAACCAAATATTAAGTTTTCTTTTTGTTATACCTTGTAATACCTTGGAGTTGTGGAGAGCACATTGTAGTTGTATACCAGATTTTTATGTTATTACTAGACCACCTGTGACCCATTGGGTCACCCACTATTCAGAGGTTATGAAGAATTCAAGCTAATTTCAATCCATTCGTGTTATTCATAATTCAAGAAAAGATATTTGATTGTTGATTGGGAGTAAAAGGAAAGACCATTTCATTTTTCAAAAAAGTTAAGTTAGAGTTTTCAGGTATTGTGATGAACAAACCTTATTCATAGTTGATTCAAAACACTTGAAAATAAGAAATAACAGATAATAGTAATGTTATTCATGGTTTATTAGAACATAATTGCTATCAAAAAACCAAAAAAAGCTATTTCAGAAAAACATTTCATACTTTCTTGCTCGAATTACTGCAAGAAACAGCAAAAACTTGATAACTGATACACTACGAAATTCACCAAATGAAAATTTTTGTCACTGTCTCACAGCAAATGATTTTTTGACTGAGCAAATTTTTCATTTCCTTACCTACCATAACCAAGGGACATTATTGAG